ACAGTGAAAAGCAAGTATCCTACAGAGAACTGGGCTGTGTTGATTTCCTGCCTTCCTTATCACAGCAACCTGGACATTTAATCTCCCAGAAGAGTTGCCTATACTCTCTCAGGAACAGAAAGGCAAAGAGGAGGAAGCTACAGAGTATTTGCAGCAGATTTACACTGTATCAGCCCTGCCAGTCCTGATGGGATATAAAGAAAAATTAATATTGCTACAAGCCAGCCCTTTGATGCTGAGTCAGAAAGTTGTTCTTTTTTTTCTTGTAACCTAGCTGTATTTCTAAGCTATGTACCCCAGAGATATAGTTTATAATAGCAAAGACATTATCAAAATTAATACTTGAGGTGAAACTATCAACCAAAAATTGAAAAATGAAAGAAAAATGCCTAGAGACTATCACTTCTCTTCTATCAAGGAATAGGTTGTATTTAGTGGTCTCTCCCCGTCCCCTTCCTTATTTCTTCCCATCCCCACCCCTTCCATCCCCTCCTCTTCTTCCCTTTAGAATGCTTCTTATCAATCAGACCTCTTTCCCCAAATGGGTCCTTTTCAAACTTCATCTTCTGTCCAGCTTTCCCAGAATATAGGGAACTGATTAAACATCCATATTTTGCAATATATTATCTTGTGTAAAAAAGAAAACTTAGAAACATAAGAAAATCACCAATTACATAAAGTCTTGAGATATTTAAGTTCTGGAAAACAAATCTGTTTCCCTAAGTTATTACCTAGTCAATAGCATACTAGGAATTGAAGTTTCATTAATTAATTTATTCATTTCATCTGTAACAAGGTGACCAACAGAAACATTTACTTTTACTTAACTTTTGCTGCTAAACGCTCAACAAGGAAGAGAGAGAAAAACATTTTTCTCCTCTTTGGAGTATAACTGGAATTTTTTTTTTAAAAAAGCTAAAAAAAATTTTTTTAAAGACTTATTTATTTGTGCATACAGAACTGGGGTACCAGCCAGAGATGCAGGGGTGGTGAGATTCACCAGAGACAGAGTGGGGAGCAGAACAGGCCAACTGACAAAGTACACTGCTAAGGGGAGCAGCGGGCGGTCAGGAGAGGTCTTCTGCACCAGGTGGTCACCTCCCTGGCAGTCGGGGATCATGGATGGAACTCATTCTGAAGTGGCTTTAGCTTCTTAGTGATGTGCTTTAACCAACTGGTTAAAGCACTACCAGGGAGGGCCCTACCAGGAGGGCACTACCAGGGAGGGCCCTAAAAATATTTTTTAAAAGAGTAAAATAACTCTTTTGTAATGAGGCCTTGGTACTTGAATATCTACAAAGAAAGACCAGGATGAATGCTTTTTAAGTTGGAGGTTTTAAAAGCAAGAAAGCCCTATTATGAGTAGATCCCCATTTCAATCTGAAAATATAAAAATAACAAGGTCTCCAGGTTTCATCAGCAAAGAGTCATGAATTTATCAGAACCATAGATGTGGCAGAATGTTGGGGAAAATGGTCCCAGGAGTGCTGGGGAACTGAAAACTAAATATTGTATCTGAAGAACAAATGTCACCAAGGAAGTGAGAAGATAGAGAAGTACAGGAATGGAACTCTGAACCTGCAAGTGGCTGGAGTTGTGGGTGACAGGAAGCGATCCCAGTGGAGCTGCCAGTGTGGTGGGATAACCAAGAGAGAGGGGCTCTCTGAAGGTCAAGCAAAGAAAGTGATTGCTTCAAGAAGTGTCAACAACTCTTTCAAATGCTGCTGATAGTTCCAAGACAGCTGAGAATTAACCATAGATTTAGCAAAAAAGAAACTAGTGACTTTGCCAGAAGATCTTTTAGTGGAGGTATAGGGAAGGTGGGAAGGGACAGAAAGTTTAAATTAGAGTGGATACAAGAATGAAAAGGTGAAGGAATGAGATTGCAGTTTCTCAAGGAGCTTAGAGGGAGAGTAGCAAAATAGGTTAGTAGCTGGAGGCAGATAAGTTGTCAGGAAGTTTTTCAAAAGGTGGAGAAATGGTGGAAAGTGGTAATATGCCTATGGGAATGATCTGGCATAGAGATCAAATTAATAATGTAGGATTCAGAGGTGCCAGTGGCAGGGCAACAACTTGAGAATGTAAGAGAAGACAGATCTAGTACAAGAGTTGGAGCACATGAAGTTCATTCTTGACAACAGGAAGGAATACAGTGCATAGTCCAGAGGCAGGTGCAATGGACCCAAAGTTTATATTTCTCCCAAATTTCAGATGATGAAATACTAACCCTAGAGGGGACAGTATTAGGATCTGAGATCTTTAGGACATAATTGGGTCATGAAATGGAGTCCTCTTGAATTGTATTAATAACCTTATAAAAGGAATCCCAGAAAGTTTTCTTGCCTTCTTTTCACAGTGTATGAGTATGAGAGGATGACAGTAAACAATCTGGAAGAAGGAACTCACCTCAACCAATCAGGCTGGAACCGGCTTTCAGACTTTCAGAAGTGTGAGAAACAAATTTCCATTGCTTGTGAGCCACCCAGTTTACAGTGCTTGTTAAAGCAGCCTGAATTTATATGTAAATTTAACAGATATGATGATGATAATTTTAACCTCTAAAATACTGACCTATGTTTTTTAAAAGTACAACATTTTAGTTTAATGAATTTAACAATAGGGTTAAGTCAGTAGTCTAGAGAATCCAGAAATTTTAAAGGAAATGTATATGTGATCAAATCATCTTTTTATGCTGCTTTTAATTTTTACCTCCCTGGTAAAAATTGTTGGATTCCTAAAATAATGAAAATACTTAATAAAATATTTTTATGCATAGATATATATTTTAAAGAAATGATTTTAACTTGTGAGAAAATACAATTTCAAAACAATAACAATGAATAATGGTTTTATTGTTAGATAACTGTCAGGATTCTGCTGAAACATAGTGTAAGACATGTATGAATGTCAACTGCCCATAACCAGGAAAGATGAAATGCGTAAAGCAGGTAGATCTGGCCTCGGGAGATGATGAAAATGACAGCATTTTAGAACCTGAGTTGTCTTAGCTATAACTGAGGGTAATCCCTGCCTTATAGGAATATCATGTGTGAGCTTCAAATAAGACAGCATAGTTAAGGCTCCAGAAATATACTAGGCAATGCACTTCAAAAAGCGATTAAAGAATATTTATTTGCTGCATAGTATGACAAAGGTAAAATAACATTCTTTCCCCTCATTTAGAAATGATTTCAGGCCCTCCCTGGTGGCGCAGTGGGTTAAAGCAAAGCACTAAGAAGCTCAAGCCACTTCCTCATGAGTTCGATCCCTGCCTGCCCCGGAGGTGACCACATGCATGGCTCGGCAGACGTCCTGACCCGCCCGCTGCTCCCCTCAGCAGTGTACTTCTTGATCTGCCTGTTCTGCTCCCCATTCTGTCCCTGGTGAATTCTCTCACCCTCCACATCTCTGGCCTGTACCCCAGTTCTGTATGAATAAAATAAATAAATCTTTAAAAAAAATGATTTCAGGCCCTCCCTGGTGGCGCAGCGGGTTAAAGCACAGCACTGAGAAGCTAAAGCCGCTTCCGCATGAGTTCGATCCCCGCCTGCCCCGGAGGTGACCACATGGCGAGGCAGACCTCTCCTGACCCGCCCGCTGCTCCCCTCAGCAGTGTACTTTGTCGATCTGCCTGTTCTGTTCCCCACTCTGTCTCTGGTGAACCCTCTCGCCTCCCCTGAGCCTCTCGCCTATACCCCAGTTCTGTATGTACAAATAAATAAATCTTTAAAAAAAAAAATGATTTCAGGACTAAGAATTTCAGGACATTTAAAAAGTATCTATTTTATTTTAAAAGTACCTAAATCTCAAAACAAACAAATACTAATATGTAAAGAAGTACACTCTTGCTGGGAATTATTAAATAGGTTGATTGTAAATTATGCATTACATTCTGTATTGAAGTCATTTTTGTAATGTTGCTAAATGGTCTTCTAAAATGCTTTAAATACAGAGTCTGAATAAATGGTGTAAATGACAGGAAATCTTGAGTGTGAATTAGAAATAACTGCTATCAACTCTTACCTTATTTGATAATAAATTTTAGCATTAGTGGTAAGGAGAGGAAAAGCATCTCATTAACATGTCAATGTGTTTTTATGCAGATAGGGTGTTATAGTACTGCATTAGAAATTTGATCAAGGTATAAACAAAAGTGATTTAAATGTCTTTGGATCAGTACCATCCAATCATAAGAGGTCCGTTAGTCCAGGCAGTCAGTACTAGAACTGGCCCAAACAACTGGAATGAGAGTGGAAAGTGAACTCATTTTTATGTTTAGATCCTGTAAAACATATTTGAGGAACTAAAAGTATGTGATCCTTTTAAATTCCAAAATATTCATCAAGCATTTTGTGGTACAAATATTAAAGACATAATCTGTACCTTCAACAATCTAGTGAAATAAAAATATCACAAATAATTGTTGTGTAAGGAAGTTTTGTTCAGTGGTGGTAACACTACCTCATCTGACAACTGTCCTTAGTCTGACCATCCACTTCCTTAAATCCTACTGAAGGAATTCCTTCTGATTTTCCCTTTTTTAAGGAAAAACACCAAGCTGCCCTTTGTTATGGTTATGTCAGGTTTATGTTAAAAGGCCAAAGAGTAACTATATAAGAGGCAATGTTTGTCTTAGGCAATACCATGCTTGTTGAGACTTTTGCCCTGTTATACCCCATAAAATTCAATAAATCTAAATCGCCTTCTGGGGCTTAATGGATTATGCTCTGATAATAAACACGGATGTCTGCCAACTATAGCAGCTGCAATACCAGCAATTGAGCTTATAGAATTGTATTTTACCTAAACTCACTTAGGTCAAAGTGTAGTGAAGTGGAAGAAATTATTACCTATCATAAAGCGATGGTTCCTGTTATTCGTTTGCTAAGGTCATCATGAGCAGAGTAATACAAAAATCCCTACAAATAAAAGGGGCGGACGGCTATTCTATGTAAGAAGACTTTGGTCCCAAGAAAACTCAAGTCAGTCTCTTCAGCACACATCACTCTTTATTTCAGCACTGTTTTGCAGGGTATAAGACTTCAGCCCCACAACAGCCAGGTGACAGCAAAGGGTAGCGGGGGAAATGATGAGAGCCCCCAGATGAAAGGGCCACCACTAGAAAAGTTGGGACAAGTAGGGGAAAGGCTGCCCACAGTGGGGCACGCGCTCTCCGGATCAGGCACCTCCAAATACCCCAAACGTAGACGATCAGAAGCCTGGTGAAGGTGGGAATGTCCCAAAGGGAATCCCGCGAAAAGAGCCAAGATGGACCCAGAGGGAGAAGCGGTGTCCTGTCCTCCGGCTTTGCTCAAAGGGGTAGCCGGCGTGAAAGGGGCGGGGGCGGCGATGGGCAGCAAGGGAGGAGAGGAGGGGCGAGGCGCCGCGGAAGGCCCCCTCCCCTCGCTCTCCCTCCCTTCCCCTTCCCCGCCGGGCACCGGAGCGCAACCCGCCGAGGCCCGGCCGCTGCAGGGGGAGGCGCCAACTCGTCGCGGCGCCAGGCCCCCGACCGAGCAGTAACGGCGACCCAGGAGGCGGAGCGGACGTCGCTCGGGCCTGCGCTGCAGTAAGGGGATGGGGGATGGCGTCGGAAGTCCATAGGGGGCGGCGGGCTCGGTGCGCGCAGCCTAGGGCTACCCCCGCTCAGACCACTTATCTCGACCCGGGCTGTGGATCTGAGAGTGGGAGCCCGCCGCGCACCGGGCGCGATGGTGGGAGACTAGCCCTCCAATATCGCCGATCAGGCCTCTTGGCGCGTGCGCGCGTCCGCCGACCCGGCATCAGCTGAGCAGGGTTCTGGGGCTACACCCCCTCCCAGCCCCGGGCCCAGGCGTCGTCGCGCGTGCGCGAATCTGGTTGCGGGTGGGGCGTGCGAGATTCCGCGACTTTCCTCGGCCGCGGGCTTTGGCGGCGTTGCGCATGCGCAAATCCACTGGCCGGGACGCTTCGTCCCCGAGGGTCGCCGATTAGCGTCGCCCTGGGCTGGTGCTGGGCTAGAGGCTTCCTGGTCCTGGCCTTACCACCACCTAGTGTGGCTGAGGGTGTTGGGGGTGTGCATCCCGTGTCCTAGGGGAGATACCTCCCTCAGAGTGTCGTCTTTCTTCTGCACTCTGTCTCGTGTAGGCTGCTGACATTTACATTTCTGTGGTTCTTGACCCTGGGAAAATCTAGTAACCCAGCAACCGGGCCCCGAACCTCATCGCTGATTCTTTTAGCATTTGGACCTGAGCTTGAGGACTGGCGCAGAAAGTTAGCTAAGTTAGGCAAAGCTGTTTGGGCGCTGCTGTGAAGAAATGGGGAGAAATCGCCATGAGACTCTATCTTAAGCTGGAAGAAATTGCTCTCTGTTCAGTCCTGAAGATAGAGATTTTCAGACGTTGAGAAACTTTGCAAGCAAGCCATCACCTTGACCGAGAAAGGACTTCCTGCCTGAGTTGGAAGGCGAGTTCAGAGTGAACTTTTTGCTTTTGTTTACACAAAATGTTGGAACAGTTCAAGTTCAGGACTGTAACAAAGTGCATGTCATAGAGCTCCTTGGTGCCTCACTCGGCCACTTATTCTGGGTCAGAGCTGAATAAAAGTGGTAAAAGTTCACAGAGGTTTGGAATCATGCACTTTACCCCAGACTCAGAAGTTGAGAGTCACTGCTCATTGCTGACGCTCCTGGCTTTGCCTTCTAGTACTAGGAGCCCTACCCCTTCCTGGGCAGTGGTACTTAGTTAAGTCAGTTTCATGACTTCTGGAGCTACTTGGAAAGATGTCATTACTGTGTGCCTTGTTGTAATCTTGTATGATGTCTTGACACTTGGAATAGAAGGACCACTTAATATCAAAATCGGAGTAACCTAGGTGAAATGTAATCTATTTCCCAGAGCCCTACGCATTGTAATATATATGCTATTAAATAGTAGGTAAAAGCATTTGAAACCATACATCCTTGCACACCCCCCTCCCAGCAGCAGGCTTTATTGCTGTTGCAAGGCTTGCTAAAAATTCCACGCCATGCTTCTGCTTTTTTCTGTGACCTAAACCCTGTCCCACCACATCTGCATCACAACCAACTTCTTAAAAGTCTCAAACCAGTTACCCTCAGGTGAGGGTGACCCCCTCACCTATACTAGTTGCGACACTGGTTTCCCATCTTCTTACTTAGAGCTCTCTTGTGTGCGATCAGTCTTTCCCATAACTGGAGCTCAGTATACATACTTGTTAATGATATACATGAAATTGGAATCTGACTCCAGAAATATTTTGTGCTGAATTCACACAGACATTTGTTGAGTACTTTGTACTCACTTTTGTTTTACATTATGTCAGTGAACAAAAAAAAAAAAAAAAAAAAATTCCTTCTGGAATTTACAAAGCAAAGAATGATTAACTATTATTGTTTAAAATTTTACATACTGTGAAAAAGGATGGGATTGGGATTGTAAGTATGGGCTGCAATTTTAAACAGCATGGTGATGGTGGGTCTGAAGAGAGCATTGCAAGTGTTTATGATGAATTGGTTTTCAAAATTAAATATCTTTCTTCAAGAAAATGTGTTCTCTAGTATAGCTCTCTAAGCCAGTATACCATAGCTTGACCATTGTAACAAGTGTGTCCTTTATAGTACATAAATTTAAAATATTTTTCTAAATAGAGGTCAAATTACTTCGAATTTTGCATTTTAACTCAGCATATCAAATGAAGAGACTGGGCTCTTAAATGGAAGAAACTAGCCAAGCAATTACTACAGATCTATTGAGAGGAACTTGCTTATTTTCTTCACATTTTACTGTTTGTTGCAATTACTTTTTAATGTCCCTTTCACTGTGGATGACTGTTGAGTGTCTTTTCTAAGAGTGGTGGTTGATTTTCTTAATTTGAAACCATGGAAGATTTACCTAGGTCTGATATACTTCAGGTATTACCTTATTGTCTTAGAAGTTTTTGAATGAACCAGACAAGCCAAACCAAATTTTAATTCAAAATTAAAGGAGACTTAGAAAAAAAGATTGATAGAGAGGAACGACTTTAAAAAGTAAAGAGTGCTTTCTCTTCAGCTTCTTTACTTTAGTAGATTACATTCCATGTTTAAATATAAAAAATTATTAATCTAGAACTTTAAATATAGAGCTTATGCCATTAGGAGCTATCATATTTAACTTCAGTTTTATCACTAGACTAAAATAAAATTAAAATAATCTTAAGATACCACTACTTTACTGGAGTTGAATTACTATAAATCCCAACTGACCAGGAAAGAGAATTGAGACAAGGAATGAAATTATCAGTATTACAGCATAATATCAGGACACTAACTCTATAAGTTGGATAGAGTTTAACTCTATAAGTGTAATAGAGGGCCAATAAGAATATCTACTTCAAGGGAGCAGATAGCTCATTTCCCTGAAAAAGGATATCTACAGTATCGTTTAGCTAATGTGATCCTTCTCACTTTAATTATACAAAAGGACTATGTACCCAGTTCATATGGTGAGTCTCCTGGAAATTTAAGTCATGATAGTTTTTTTCTGCATTAAGCTGTGTCTTCTATATGAATTCAACTTTAGTAATCTAACTTGGGCTAAGATCTATTCTGTGTATCTTCCCATGGAAGATATTTTTGAGCTAATAAATACCAATGGGTGACAATATGTGAGTAAATAATAAATTGTGACATTATAATGTATTCTGCATTATGCTGAGAATATTTGATACCAAACAGAATGAATCTCAAATGGAAATGTACCAAGAGGGTCTACTATGTTGAAATACTACATACTTAAATTTCAAATGCATTCACAAATTTCTCAAGTTTACTTTAGGTAGAATAACAATCTAAAAATATTTGTGTAGTTTGTGTTGCTTTTTCTTTTCATATTTGAAAGTGATCCATTTGCTCTGTGTGGCTGAAAAGAACAACATTGGTGAGCTCAGTAATCTTTTAAAATACAATTCTGCTTTGGATTGAGTATTTCTGTGTTCTGCAATTCAGTTTCCTATTTACCATAAGCATGGTAATACTATTTTCTTTGAGATTGTGCTTTGGTTTCAGCTGCAGTTTAGGTTTTTTAGTTATGTTTATCCTGTTAATAATTGTCTCAGGCTAGTTGGCAGCTGTGTAGGTATCTTACTGTTGTCATTGATTTATGAGGTAGCACTTAAGTAGAGCTAAATTATAGCTGACATCACTTTTTTTGCAAGTGACAATTGCAGTCATGTTTCATTATTTTATATAATTTTATTATAAGTTATAGGTGACACTTGAAAAGCTGTTGTAGCTATTATTTAATGACTCAGCTAAGCATGTAGTTATAAACTATTGATACCCATTGACATTTACTTGGTCTGGAACTCATTAGCACACTGGCACTGTGTTTGCTGTGCTGTGACCTAAGACATTGAATTTCTTTAATGTCCTGTGTCTTTGATCTTAAAAGCATCCACTTTGTTGCCTCAATAGGGGAATTTGAGTTTTATATTGCAAGAAAACATTTATATGTTATGTTCCTTAAGTATAACTTTAGAGTTGACCCCATAGTATTAAGTTGAATGAAAAATATAGAATACTTGACTTTCTCTATAGAAATTCCTAAGGTTTTTTTAAAAAACTCTTTCTTATTAAAAAAAAAAACCAAACTTCTTCTTAGGGGATTACTTCTAAAGAGTAGCTACAACCATTTAGAAGGGCTTGAATAACTGTAAAATAACAATTTCCATGATATGGTGTGTCTAGTTTATTAACTCTTAAGATCCTTGAGTATTGGGGCTGGGGAAATGTGGCACAAGCAACTAAGAGCTAAATATCCTTTTGTTCCACTTTTTTTTTTTTTTAAGTATTTGCTTTCAAATAAGTATGTGCTCTTTAGCTCAGGCACATCCTAGTACAGGTGCATAATAAATATTTGTTGAATATATTAGGCAAATGAATACATGCTGTATAATCAGTTTAACTCTTTATTTAGTCAGTAATGTTTCCAAGTGATATGAAACATTGTCATATTAGCAGACAGGATGATTAGCAATATTACTATTGCTTGTTACCGACAATAATATGTAAAATTTATCAATGATGAACTTTGTTCAGCAAAAGGATTTATTTTACTTGTTTTAGAGAAGATTAGGAATGATTTTATTTATTAAGTTCAGTTATCAAAAGATTGTCCGTTTGACCACTCATCTTCTACTTTGTAATTGAGAATGTAGAATGTGGAGAAGATTCTTAAAATAAAAATATGAATAAAGAGTTATCTGTACCAAAGAGGAATAAATTGGAAATAAACTTTGGAATTACACAATTTTTTTTTTGGGTGGGTGCCTATATAGAAATGTTGTACAAAAGATTATCTTAGTTAACATATAACATATATTTGATTTTAAAAATTGCTTCTTGCAAAACCTTGGCCCTTGAGTGTCTAACTTGGACCCTTTTTTTTTTTTTTATTCGTACAGACCTGGGGTACAGGCCAGAGATGCGGAGGGTGAGAGGATTCACCAGAGACAGAGTGGGGAGCGGAACAGGCAGATCGACGAAGTACACTGCTGAGGGGAGCAGCGAGCGGGTCAGGAGAGGTCTGCCTAGCCATGCATGTGGTCACCTCCGGGGCAGGCAGGGATCGAACTCATGCGGAAGTGGCTTAAACTTCTTTGTGCTGTGCTTTAACCCGCTGCGCCACCAGAGAGGACCAACTTGGACCCTTTAAAGGAAAAGAACAGTGGGTCTTCCTGGTGGCCTAGCAGTTCCGTATCAGCACCATCAGCTCAATGGCCTGAGTTCAGTCTTGGGCAGGGAGTTAACATATATGGCACAACAACCCCCTCCTTTCTCGCCACTGCAGTGTGTTTCAGTCAATCTGCCTGTTCTGCTCCCCACTGTGTCTCTGGTGAGTCCTCTCAACCCCTGCATCTTTGATCTACAACCCAGTTCTTATTTGCAATAAATAAATAAATAAAAGCAAAGTGCAGTGGCAGGAATTTCTGTTTGGATAAGGTATTAAATTACATTTAAGTAAAAGTGATTTCATTTATCCCCACACACATGTAAGGGATAAGCCAGTTAATTAAGATATAGTCAGTAATGAATGGGATGACCTTATGTGACGATCTTCCCAATATGGTGTCATTCTTTGTCTTGGATCTGTAAGAAACATTGTCCTCTTGTGCAGAAAATAGGGAAATATGTAAGCAGATTTAGACAAGAAGTAGAAAACACATTTTTGCCTTTCTAATATATTAATGGTTAACTTTTTCCTATTTGGGATTTTTTTCTTCATGGCATTTAAGATAACATACTATGTCTGTTAATTAGTTATTATAGTCTTAGGGATTAATAAAATTTTATCTTGCCAAAGATAAAGTTGTGATTTATGAGTTGTCATTATCAAAACCTTTTTGAATCCCTATATTAATGGTAAAGGCCATATTAGAATAGTGGTATTTTGATTCTAAGATGTTGTTTTCCTTAACATTGAGTAACCTTATCCTTCCATAGTCAGATGATTTTTTCAATTTAAGCTTAAAATCTTGAAGTCTTCAAACTGTCAGATTGAAAATTCAAATCTACCAATTCGTTGTTGGAATTTCATGGCACATTTTATTTTTGGCCTTATTTCTATCAAAATTTTATTATAAAAAAATTCCCATCAAAGTACAGCCACAGTTGTATTGTTATCTATAAAACATTAAAATAGTATTGGTTTTATAAAACTTTATCAGTTGCATAGTATATTTATCATTCTGTGGCTTAGTGATTTTTTTTTGGTCAAAACTGAGTGATTTTTTTTGGCCAGAATTGATTTGAACGTTTTCTGTGTTAAACCTAGATAATTTATTTTAATTGCCATATGATATGCACATGACATTTCTAAATTCGGTTGATGTATCCTGTTGATCAATTCTGTTTGCTAATTCTTGTATATGCTCTAGAGATCATCTAGGTCAGTATTTTTCAAACTGCAGGGCATGACTTAATTAGCAATCTTGAAATTTTCTAGTGGGCAGATACATCAGTTTCTTTTAAAAATGAAATTTGAAATAGGGTACAATAGAATAGAATAGAATAGAAATACCATTCAATGTAGTAAGGGCAAGAATTATTTTGTGGCGCTAATGTTTCAGGGGTCTGTGTGTGTGTGTGTCTGTGTGTGTGTGATCAGAAAAGCTTGAAAGACATTCCTCTGGCCTAAATATTGTCAAATTGCTCTCTAAAGTCATTGGATCAGTTTCCATGCCTTCTAGCAGTGTGAGTGCACCTTTTGATTGACATCCTTGCCACAGTAGGTAATGTCCCCCTTTAATTTTGCAAATCTGGTGAATAAGGTTCATCTCATTGTGAATTCCACGATAAATTCCATTGTGAACATGAGAATCTTTTAATGTTTATGTTTTGTAAAGTATTCCTTTGTGAATGGTGTTTCCTTTGTCCATTTCTAAGTGGATTCTTTGTGTTTATCTGATTTTTAAGTATTCTTTAAATAATCTAGATGTTAATCTTTTGCCAGCTATCAATTATGCATTTTGAAAATAAATATCTTCTCACGTTCTGTGGCATGGTTTTCTCCTTTTTATTTCCACTTTGTCTCTTTAAGCTTTAATGTAATAAAATTTATCTGTTTTTTTTCTTTGTGGTTTACTTTGGATACTAATTAAGGTATCATTCATGCCTGAGGTCATAAAGATGTTTTCTGTACTTTTTGCATAAGTTTGGAAGTCTTACTTTTTTCACATTCCAGGGGTTTCCCTTTGGTTTTCTACTTTAAAATACCAAAGATTAAACTATCTTCATTATGTATTTTTTCATGAATTTCAGTGCCTAAATTGACATCTGATCCCAATGTGTAAAGTATAAAATCTATGAATTGAGCACCTCTACTGAAAATTTAATGGAACCTATGTAATATTTACATTATTTTTTTCAGATAATTGTTAGTTGTAAGATATTCTTTTCCTCCTATTTTTCTCTAATTGAATGTATTTATGTGTTTACATTTCAGTCACATTAACCCTCATAAGGATATAGAAGGAAAAGGAATAAAGATGACTGCTGAATATTGGGCTCCAGAAATTTAAAACAATCAGGTACAAGCATTTTTAGAAGGAGCATTTCTGATTACTCAATATAAAATAAAACTCTTTGGAATATACTCTTTTGGAATTTAAACTACCTCTGCAGTACTGGAGGATCCAAGTGGAGGAATCAGTGTTGGGTTCAAATCAGTACTGACTCTGACCCTGATTGACTAGAGACTGTTGAGCATGTTATTAAAGCCTGTCCCTAAAATAGAGGGTAATGATTATATCTGTTTCAATTGGATGCTGTTTTAAAGATTAGATGAGATAAGGCAAAGTACTTACTTGATAGCACAGAGTAACTATTTTTTACTGTTACTGCTATTTAGATTCATGTTTATCCTATCATGGGTAGAGTATTATGTACATATACTGTGGATTTTTAAAAAGTTTATTTTGATATACTACTTAATAGAGATATTTGATATACTACTTAATAGATTGGTGACATAATAAAATAGTTAGAATCCTTAGATCTATTTCACAAGCTATATTCTTCAAATAGCTCAAATTGGGAAAGATAGTTTTCTCTATTATGTATGTATTGCACTGGAAGAATGTTAAAAAGTAATCATTTTCTCCAGTGCCAGAGAATTTGCAGTTTTGTCTTGAAGGACATCCTGGTCAACAAAAGTGAAATTAGTTAATCTTATTTTTTAGTATTAATTGAATTGGCCTATTATCTTTTTGAATATTGTAGTTTCCTTATGCCATATGTGTAATTATGTTTTAAAATGAATAGTCAAATAAACAGAATGACCTGTTTTCCATCACTCTAATTTAAAGAATTACTATGCTTGAAGTTGGTAAAAAAGCACTGAAAAGAGCTATTTTCCCTTCTTAAGAACCCATGATTGTATAACATTAGCAAGATTGCCCTTCTATTAGGAACAAAGATGCCTAAATTAGAATGAGAGGCAATCCTGCATCTCTCTTTTCTTTCTGTTACTTATTTTCTTCTTTGTCTTGATTCCTTTCTTCTATTCTTCTCTTCTAGCTCTTTTTATTTCTTAATCCAGTAAATTTGGGACAGACATGAAAGATATTTCTAGTTAAAATGAAGCTAAAATGAAAAGAGAAGGCTTCTCAAGATAGGCATTCTCTACTACACAAAGGGTGCTTTCAGTGAATATATTGTGTCCTATGCTGAAGCATGTGCTGGGTAGTTACAGCAATGAATGAGTCATAGCCTTCTCTCTTAAAGAGTTTGCAAATTAATAGCACATGATGCAGAAAATGAAAAGTGCCATAAGTGAAATAAAAAAAGTTCTGTGGAAATATAGAGGGGGATGGGTTATAGCCCCAGTCTGTCACCACAGGTGATAAGAAAACTGATGATGTGAAGCTCAGTGGCAGTTATGTTGGATTTTAGAGAATTAACAGATCTCTGAAAGGGTAGTAAGAATTAATTCAATATGGTAAATTATTTTTCCATAAGGCAACAGTGTCAAGTGTTAGAATTTACTGATTTATAAGTGAGAAAATTTTGAGTGATCCTGCAAAAAAGAAGAGTATCTTTTTCAAATACTAGAAATAATTCAGTTTGAATTATAATTATTCTGAATTATTATTATTCCTTATATATATTCTGACACACTTTTTTTTTTTTTAAAGATTTATTTACTTGTGCATACAGAACTGGGGTACAGGCCAGAGGTGCAGGGGCGGTGAGAGTAGAGAGCAGATCAGGCGGATTAACGAGGTACACTGCTGAGGGGAGCAGTAGGCAGTTCAGGAGAGGTCTGAGGTGTCATGTGGATCACCTCGGGGCAAGCAGAGATTGAATTTAGGAGAAAGTGGCTTTAGCTTCTTAGTGCTGTGCTTTAACCCACTGCACCACCAGGGAAGGCCCCTGACAGACATTTTTAGAGCTGAGGAAAACTTTTTTTTTTTTTGCCAGTATCCTCAAGGGCATGTATTACATTGTTAAGGATTATTGTTAAGAATTGACCTTATTATTGTTTTTCTTGGTTTGTTATAAGAATGTGTTTGTTGATAGTCAGATAAAGAGTTCTGAGATTAATCTTAAAATATTGATTGTACTTAAGTAAATTATACCTAACCTCATAAATCAGAAAAAAATCAACATAATAAAATATAATTTTGTTACATTGCTTTTAAAGGGAGAAAGAATATTTTTTCTATTTTACTATGGCCATAAGATAGCTAATTGTGCAACAACTAAGCCATAGTCCAGCCATGTTGCATATTTTCTGATAGGGCTGCTTCTGTTGTTCCTGCAATTTGCTAGAAAGTAGTTGTGGGTGGTGGTTAAGAACATTCAGTGTTGTTACACACTTGGTAGCTGTTATTTTGGATTTTTTGTTAAAGTCTTGGATAACAAAGCCACATTCATTCATTCATTCTTTCATCCTTTTCATTCTTTCATCCTTTTCATTTGTTCTTCCTTCCCCTGCCTCATCCCCCTCAGTTTAGCCAACCATTCATGTACTCTTCCTTCAGTGGAGTGGACAATAAATCTGCTCTTCAAAATAATTTGGAGCTCTTCAGTCCCAGGAAAAATTGACCAAGGTCTAAAAATAATTTTTTCTTGTCTATAGGAAGTCAAGTCTGAATTAAAATTTTTGTATTTGTTTCTTTATAGATTTTAAGAATGTGTGTTATCCGGGGATTAGTTTTAACAGTCAGCAGGACAGTTCCTATAAAGAGCACATGTGGCAGTTGCAGAGTAGTTGAAACACTTTTTGGGTTTTATAGCTGTTAGCTTCCCTGCCTAACACTTAGTCTCTTGTTTCCCCTTTTCCATATTTGACCTTACCTTATTTTCTGTGTTAATTAGAAGTAAAATAATTTAAACCAACCTAGTTTCATTTGACATTAGGGATCCTGATTTCATCACATACTTTTTCCTCAGGGACTGCAAGGACTGAGTCCATATGGAAGAAGAACTACCCCCTTTCTATGGAGAAAGTGGCAAGGTTAGACAAACTCATGCCCTTAGAGCATGTATTTTCTGTTGCATGAAAAATTCCTCATCAAATACCTGTTGGTTATTTGATAGGAAGACCAGTAAGATACTATGCATGTTTGAGATAGTGACACTTGAGTTGTACAAGGAGTATCGTTCACCCCCTACTTTCACGGACAGTGTTGTCCTATAAGAGGGTCTGAATTGAAGAGTGTTTATTTATTCCATTCCTAGAGGTTTAAGTTAACTATAAAAATACTTAATCTTAGATGTCATGTTCTTATTGAGGATGGTTTTTATAAATTTATTAAAGATATTATTTCTTTTTCATTACATCTAAACATTACAGTTCCCCAGCCAATGTCCATTTAGTGTCCAGCTGATACTAAAAGTTTCACACCTTTCAGCAGACATTTCCATCTTGTGTGATTTTTATTAAAATATCTGTTCTTTATTGTTAACAGCTTAATATTATCAGCCTCTATTAACTTTCATTTTTTGATTTCCACTCTTTTTAAATTAAATATCCTCAAAATTCTATAAAATAGTAAATAATTATACAAAGTCAGCATAGTATGTAGAGATAGCAAAGATTCTGAAACTGTACTGTAATTTTACCATGTGCTGACTTGAAGTATTTGTTGGAAAGCCCCACAGCAGCTCCTGAGGGTCATATAAAATAATAATAGAAAAATTCCTAGTTTATCCTGGGAATAGGTTTTATAAATGAAAGGACTAGAACTAGCAATGAAATTGCTTCATTGCATAGAAAATGTTATGCTGCCAGCAAATCCTCAAAATGGGGGTGTTGGTATCATTAAAAAAAGGCTTTTTTGCTAGGTGTGCCTAACATGTATTTTAAATTCTATCTCTGTATGATGTATTTTAAATTAAATGTGACAACTTAGTGGTTTTAGGTAGTTAATTGAAGTATCATTTAATTCATAATGAGTCAGAATTATACAAGTAGCACAAACACAAAGCATTAATAAAATCCATGTAGGGCACTAATATTACAGATATGCATTTCCTTAACTGTGTTTTCTTTGAGCTTATCTTAAAATTTCATTGTTTTGCATTTCCTAAATGTAAGAATGGGGGAGGTAGACTGGATGTGAATGAAGCAGTTAAGTCACTGAACTGGGATTACCACCTTTGCTGGTGGTTTGTAGGGAGAAGTGTTATCTTCTAGTAGTGTGAAGTCTAAGGACACGATTTTGGTGACATACATTGCCAAGTTCTCATTCTGGGGCAGCACTTTTTTCTTCAGATAGATTTTCTATTGCCCACTTTTGGCTCTTGCATAGCCAGCTCTCTTACTTAACAGCTGGCCATAGAGGCAGTTGGGTGCCTTTCTGCAGAGATATCTGCTAGCTGCCTCATGGAGTGGCTGTGGTGTGGTGGAGGCCGTGACAGGATACTGTGTGTGAATCCTTACCCTGTGTACACTCATTATTCCATATGTATGTATGTATGTATGCAAAGTATATCACATATACTTTATATTTGTACAAGTGTATAGATATAAAAAATGTATAGCTGTGTACACTCATGAGTGTGCCAGATGAGTGTATTTTTTCGGTAATCAAATATGCTGTATTTCAAGGTTGTTATTGAATTTGAACTTCAAAAAGTATAAGCATATGCATTTTATAAATTAAACCAGCAGTTTACTAGAACAGTTCCCCCACAACTTGTAGGGAATTTTGATGAATAACCTCTAGCAGCCAGCCATCTGACACATTTAATAAGCAACTGTATTCATATGTCTGTTGTACTTACATTCTGTTGTAATTATTTAGGTCTTTTAAAAATTAAATTGTGAGTTCCTTGTGGAAAGTGACTTTGTTTCATTTTTATTTCTTTAGTATCTGACACTCAATGATGTTCAGTGATTCTGTCAGACTCAACATTCTCTAGACCAGTAGCATCTTTAAACAAATGTATAACTGCAAATACATTCCATACACACTGCAGTCCCTGTGGTGTTAGTGCAGATATCCAGGAAGAACGTTTAGAATTCAATGAATTGTAAACAAGCTGGTTAGATATTCAATCTTAAACTAGGTGTCTAGGAGACCACTCGGTTTTGTAGCAGGGAGGTTTAAATCCAACCATCTGCTCGAATGGAAAACAACGAGGTAGCAACCAATCACTGAATTATTACCCGTTTTCTCATTGTAGGTTGCCATCTGTCTGGTCTGTGGGAGACTGCCCACAGTGGGCACTACTGCTTTGTTCATTAGAAACTTTTAAAAGACTAAAATAGCCAAACCTACAAAAGCAAGCAAATACCAGGTCTTCCATAGTATAACTTTTTATGTGAGCTTTCTGTTCAGCCACAGATGGTATATGGGAAGGAATGTGGTCTCACTTGCTTAGAAACTAGTGATCTTAGAGGATTACTTTGTGTGCCTCAGTTTCCTTATATGTAAAATGAGGACTGCTATATCTGTGTCCTACAGTTGTGAAGCTTAGAAATAATATAACTTATAACTAGCTGTTGCATTGGACAACACCACACTGATAAAGCTACGGGAGTTGTGGAGCAGGCTACGTAATGCAAGATGCTGCTCAAGAGCAAGATCCTGGCCTTTTTACTGATAAGCCAGCATACAGCGTTAATCATATGAAGAAGTAGATAAAGAGAGGGAGAAGTAGAAGAAATAGGGGAAGGATGAAACTGTACTTCTCATCTTTTGATAGGTTGGTATATAGATGAAGCCCTGACTCCTCAGTCAGGATTTCAATCTCATCAATAAGGCATTCCACTGATCAGCCTCTAGGGTCCTTCGTTATATATCAGTAAACGGCCCCCCAGGCATTCCTGGTCATACCTCATGAGGTATAAGTCAGGAATAAGTTTATGCATCCGTCCTCATCCCCCTGGGCATTCCCAGTCATACCTCTTGATGCACGCCCTTCCCAGAGTGATCCAGCTTCTTTATGCTCTTAATTGATTTTCAAGTTACCTGGTAGGGTTGGGCTCCTATGACTGGGCAGTTCTGACCTTGCTTTAGGAATACAGAACTGTAGGTAATAAAATAGACTGGATAAGCCACCTAGCATTATCAGACCCACAGCTAGCTTATTAGCATATTTACATTAAATATTGATGCCACACCCCATATATTGTTATTTTTGAAATTTATAGAATTAAATAGAAAAATAAGTTAAAATGAAGACCAGGTGGGTGACTTAAAGTATAGGCTTTGACTAATGCTAGCATATGACAATTTGTTCTGTTACATGGTGGACTTCAGTACTGCCCAAAAGATAACAGGTCAGGGCTTTACAGTTCCAGGTGAGGTAATGTGGAGGGATTAGCACCACCAGGGAGCTTGCCCTGTTTTAGGCTTTGCCGCTAAGGTGGATGCTGTGAACAAAGGCTGCTTGGCCTCTCTGTTCAGCAAAGGCTGAGTAGATTAAAACAAAAGAAAATTATTCTTTTGGAGTCTAGAGGTCTGAAATCACAGTGTTAGCAGGGTTCTGGTCTCTGAATGCTCAAGGGAAGCATTCTTCCTTGTCTCCTTCCAACTCCTAATAGCTCCCATCAAGCCCTGATCTGCTATGTAGCTGTATCACTGGTCATTATCTCATCTGTGAAGGGCCTGAATAGAATGAGAGCTGAAAGAAGTAAACATTCATACTCTTTCTCCCCTCCTGGTTGATTGTCTTGGGACACCATTCTCATCTTCTGCAGTCAGCTTGGGATTTACATCATTGCCTCCTCTGGTTTTTAGGTCTTTGGAATTGGGAACTGGTGTGAATTATGCCACCAGCTTTTCTGTGTCTCCTGTTTGTGGATGGCAGATAGTGGGACTTTCCCTATTTATAGGAAATAATAATTGTGTGGCCCAGTTCCTCATAATAGATAAATGACTGAATGAATAAGTAAATATTCTCATGTAATAAATGTATGTAAATGTGTATTCGATTTTTAAGGTAGAAGGGATAAATATCCTTTAAGGTCTGTGGAAAATGAATAGCTAGTTTATTTAACTCTTTACCAGACCCATTCATAGTAAGATTGGCTTACTAACTGATGGGGACAACATGTCTTTGTGCCTTTAAGTCAACCAAAGCTATGATGATTATTGATGGAAATGGCCAAACATGCAAATTGATAGGCAGTTTGTCTTAGGTAGTCTGTAATCTTTAAAATTTTTCAAAGTTGAAAAGTACAATAAGTAAAAATATTTCCAGTTTAGCAAATAAATAAAACCTATTTCAAAACATCTTATAGCTTCCACATGGAAAGCTTAATTTTGAAATTCTAGCTTCTCATCTGTGAGAAAATTTAGTTTCTATTGTTGAGCCAGTTAGTTTATGGCACTTGTTATGGTAGTGCTAGCAATTATGTTCATGTATTTCCTGGGCATTTCTTCCTGCCAATCCCTAAACCTGAATGAGGGAATGAGGGAACCCTTCAACTGAAGGTCAGAACTGACCCATGAATTGAAGCTTCTAGAGTGTTTGTTTGGTGTCACCTTTGGTAGTGTTCTTTCTAAGTGACTTGTTTTATTAAGACTTACACAGTAGATGAAATAAGTAGTTCTTTCTCATTTCTCCCTCACTGCCTTTCCAGTCAGCCATTTTTAGAGCAACATTAGAACATGGTCAGTATTCAAAGTACCTGTTAGATATTCAGCTCCCCAAAGTTCAGCTGTGGATGATTCCCGTGTCCTTGAGGAAAATGAGTGTGTGAGATCTTATTCCACCCAGGGCCTCTTGCTCTTCATTGCCGTGAGAGAAGTACTGAAGCAGCTGAGCTTGTGGGAGGCCTCTCAAAAATAGATACAGCTTGTTCCTCAGACCTGTGCTAAGTCTTCTACATAAGTAAAAGGGGCAAAGAAAATCTGTATTTTCTTAATAAACTGTGTATGTATATGTGTATATAAGTACATACACAAATAACTGTATCTGTATGTGTATGTATATGAACATATATACACACAAATAGATCTACTTTGTGTGTGCATATATATGTAATTGTTTTTTTCCCTTTCAGCCAGTGCAGGCTACTCTGTCATCTTTGAAGATGTTAGATGTGGGAAAGTGGCCGATTTTCTCCCTTTGTTCTGGGGAAGAACTGCAGTTAATTCGTCAGGCTTGTGTCTTTGGCAGTGCTGGCAATGAAGTTTTATATACTACAACAGATGATGAGGTAACTTGGAAGAAAAATTTTGACCCCCTGTGTTTTCAGTGATGGATTTGTTATATTGAAGATCTTGGGGAAACTCAGAAGTTGACGTAAAAAAAAAAAAAGCGTAGGGTAGATTTTTATTTTTTACTCAAGAAGCAGTTTTGCTTTCAGAGGACTTTGCCTGTTTGAATGTAATTACAAGGTTTGTCAGAAATAAAATAACTTGAACTAAAAGTGTTTTCTCCCACAGATTTTTGTGCTTGGCACAAACTGCTGTGGGTGTCTGGGATTAGGCGATGTACAGAGCACCATTGAACCTCGGAGACTGGATTGCTTAAGTGGTAAAAAGATAGCTTGCCTCAGTTATGGGAGTGGTCCACATATTGTCCTTGCAACAACAGGTAATTTAGTAACATAAGGTAAAATTTTAGCCATTGCTTTATTTGTTGGGAAACAAGACTAGGATTACCTCCTAAATGAAGAATATCATTTTGCATGGGCAAAAAGTTTCTTGTTCTGTCCTATGAACTTGACAATCTTTAAACAATATGAAATGTGAACATATCTTCATGTTAGAGTAAGCTAATAAGCAGATGGAATCTACCAGTTATCAGCACTTTACATGTGTGGCTGGAAATGCTTTGAACACAGTAAACCAATTTTGGTTATTCTTTATTATAATTATTTTGCACTAGAAATGCTGAACTTACTTTGGTTTGCTTGAACTTGAGATTCCTGATCTATGAATTGGAATCCAAAGATAGATTCCACAATTCCCTCTTCTAGCATTTTGTGATTTCTACATTAAGTAGTGACTGGTGGCTGTAACTGGTATGCATGTGAAGAGTTAAATGATTTGATGGCTATTTCATGAATTCACATTTTGCTTAAGTTGAGTGTTCATTTTCATTAGCATTCTTTAAATGGGTTAAATTAGATAACACCTTCACTGAAAACAACTAAAAATTCTAGATACATTTAAAATCTTTTCATAAGAGCATTAAAGCACTGATAAGGCAGAAAGGAATTAACAGACCATATTTAAGAAAAAGGGTGGACTAAAAGGCTAGAGGAAATGTGAAGCTAATTTTACCTTAAAGACTTCTTCCTGGGCCTTTCCTGGTGGCACAACAGGTTAAAACGCAGCACTAAGAAGCTATCCACAGCCACTGCAGTATGAGTTTGATCCCCAGCCAGGGAGGTGACTCACAAGGTGCATCAGACCTCTCCTGACCTGCTTACTGCAGTGTATTTCAGTTAGCCTGCCTCTTCTGTTTCCCCCTCTGTCTCTAGTGAGACTCCAGTTCTTGTATGCATAAAGAAAGAAATCTTTAAAAAAAGAAAAATAAGACTTCTTCCTGCCCACGTAAACTGAATTGTGATTGATAAACTGAGTTGTGTGCTTATAAGCCTCTACATCACAGAGCTCACACATAAGTTTGGGAACACCAGAGCTTTACTCTCAGGGCAAGTATGAGCCAGTTCTGCTATTGCTAAGAGATTGAACTGAAAAATACCTGATCTGGAGAAAAGAAAAGAAACAAAACTTCTTCTCTGAGAGGTTTTAACCATGGAGTTAGCACTTTAACTCACATCAGATTTGGTGGTCAAAGAAATATGGAGTTTTAAATTCATTTTTAAAGTACCTTTAAGTTTCTTAAGGTCATAATAGAAATTAGTATAAATTCTTCAGAGAGGAAGACGTCAACATTCTGGGCCAATTTTGCAATGGCGTTAGCAACACATAGCTTAAGATATGACAGTGTACAAGGAAACAAGGCCCATAACGAGAACCAGCAAAAAAATACTGTAAGAACTGTATGAGTACTGCATAGCAGGTATTAGATGGTATTCCTGTGTTTGAAGAAATGAAAAATTAGGTGTAGCTACCTGCAGAGATCATAGCGGATTTGGGAAAGAAACAAATAAACAATCACTATTAAAATGAAAAACTCAGTGGACAGGTTTTACAGCAGTTTGGCTACGACCAAAGAGCTAATAAGTGAGTAAACTGGAAGATAGATCAGAGGAAATTATCTGGACTATAGTAGTATCAAGACAATATGGTCAAAAATACAGATGACATATGATTCTATTAGTTTAAAATTCAAAAACAAGGTAAACTTGATTCTTTTATTGAAGATGTATATGTGGGGAGCTTTTTGGGGTGATTATGAGGTTAAATTCTTGACATGAGTACAGTGGTGCGTGCATTATTTGTAAAAATGTACACACATATTTTATAAACTTTTCTGCATATTATATAGCACAGTAAATAACACAATAACAAGGATTTGAAAAGTTAACTTGATGATCATTTAGTAAGTAAGGAAATTACCCACAGGGATTACAGCTGAGATGGAAAAAGACACAAAATGATGTAAAAGTAAACTATTATATTATCAAAAAAAAAAGTAAGGAAATTAAGCCCAGAGAAGTTAACTTACCTTACAATTTATTGTTTTATTGTTATAACAATAAGTTGTTATATTGTCTATTGAAATGTCATCTTGTTGCTTTGAGTTAAGTTCATACTTTCCAAATGTAGTCTTTTAGAGAATGAGTTTGATGAAATAAGCAAGTGTATTGGTTTTTGTACCTGGATTTGGGTTTTCATCTGGGAAGTGTGGAGTATGTATCATCATATAATAAGGTAGATGTTTTGAAAGGTGGTTGTGTTTCTTTTTATTTTCAGAAGGAGAAGTCTTTACGTGGGGTCATAATGCTTATAGCCAGCTGGGCAATGGGACAACTAACCATGGTTTAGTGCCCTGTCATATCTCTACTAATTTGTCAAGCAAACAAGTCATTGAAGTTGCCTGTGGGTCTTACCATTCTTTGGTGCTAACATCTGATGGAGAGGTGAGAATAGTCAGCATAAATATTGTATGTGGTTTTTTTTTTTTTTTCAATAAGATTAGGTAGATTCCTGTAGCAGTTCTGCAAATATGATTATTTTATTAAAGTAACCATGTCCCTAAAGTTCAGTCTTACCCTTGTTCATAATACATAGAAGACATGGCATTCGTATTATGAGGTTTAGTTTTGCCTCATAATAAGGATTTGCAAGGATTTCTATAACTGCAAAGTATAAAAGAATGCACTTACCTCTTAGATTGCTAAACTAAAGTTTCCTTTTGGTTATTTGAAAAAAGAAAAGTGCCCACAAGATAGAAAATATGATTGAGGCAAAGTCTATATTTTTATAAGAATTATATATATGACGTTGGATAGTAACTACAATTTGTGTAGGTAACATTGATACTTAATTGTATAAGAATGAATACCTAATTTATAAGAATGAATTTTTAAAAACTTCTCTGCTTATGTTGTGAGAATTTCTAGTTCTCTAGCACTTCCAAGAGCAAAGGGGAGGCACCCCAAGTACACTTAGTGTCCTACTGAGGTGCTTTATAAATTAGTATATTTCATTTCTTGATCTCTTCTTTCAAATAGGTATTTGCCTGGGGTAATAATAACTCCGGGCAGGTAGGATCTGGATCGACAGCTAATCAGCCAATTCCTCGAAGAGTCACTGGTTGCTTGCAGAATAAAGTAGTTGTGAACATAGCTTGTGGGCAGATGTGCTCGATGGCGGTGGTAGATTCTGGGGAGGTAAGCAAAGATTTAAAAAAAACAAAACTGTTTGCCTTATCAGTGTCATATCAACATGACATATTTCTCACAACAGATGATTTGAAGGCTTTCGTTTGTCATGGTTGTTTTGAAGTCTCATTTTCTCTTAGGTCTTTGTCTGGGGTTACAATGGGAACGGGCAGCTCGGACTTGGCAGTAGTGGCAACCAGCCAACCCCTTGTCGAATAGCAGCTTTGCAAGGCATTCGTGTCCAGCGGGTATGTCCACTATTGATTTGTGAGTTCCTGTTTTCAAGTCTTCAGTGACAAAGATACCAAAGTGTTAAAACAGTTTCCTTAGCAGGATGAAAGGTACCGCTGGGATAGCATCTACAGGAAAGTCTAAAACTGTAATTCTCTTAATTAAGTTGTAGATGTTTATCAGAAGTTATGTATTTCTTGGGCAGTCACATGCATGGCTGTCAGGATGCATGTCTTTCCCAAGGATACTTTTGGGTAGTATATATCAAGAAACTAAAAGATATTCATATACTTGAGTCTGTAATTTTACTTCTGGGACATTATATTTAATGATATCAGAGTATGCTATAAGTAATGTTAAAAAGAAAGATCTAGAACTACTTACACATTATAACAGTTATCAGTGCATATTTCTATATCTGTATGTAAATAGAATAAAAATCCTGGTCTTGAGTTATGTCCCTATTTATAACCAGTTTTTTACATGGAACATATTTTACTTTTATAATAAAAAAAAGCAATTATTAAAAAATAAAGACATATATTTTTAATTCCCTTGAAGCCGTAGTTTGGTGAGCCCACTAAGTGCCACCTTAAAAGTTGAGTAAACTGATGCCTGTTGCAGAACTGACTTCGTGCGGTTTTTTTCATGCCACATTGTGGCCTAAACTAGCTGTAGGAAGCTAACTTAACGCCTGCATCTCAGTGCAGGCCACCTCTTCCCTTTATTTTTTCATTTTTGATACTTTCCCTTTCTAGTGAAAAGCATACTTTGCTCTCTTTGCAAACCTGAATGCATTTGGTGTTTCTGTTTCCAGGTTGCCTGTGGCTATGCGCACACATTAGTATTAACCGAGGAAGGCCAAGTGTATGCTTGGGGCGCAAATTCTTATGGCCAGCTGGGCACTGGCAATAAAAGTAACCAGTCCTATCCTACTCCTGTTGTCGTGGAAAAAGACAGGTAATATATACTTAAAAATAACCTTGGTGATCAAAGAAATTTAGGAATGATACAGAACTGTGGGGACTTTGCTGTTAATATTAGAATATTCTTTAGCAAGAACATCCATTACTTTTTAAAATTGGTTTTTGAATTGTTGGGGAGATTGACTCTGTGTTTAATATTTGGTTTTTACTTGCCCATATTTCGTCTGTATCTCCAACAACTGTTCTACACAACATAACAATGACTAAACCTCCGACTTCTATTGTATACTGTTTTTCCCCTCGCATTTTTTACCTTTTCACTCTGTCTTTCTTACTGAGGTGACATTTGTTTATAACTCTGTATATGACTCACAGGTATAGTTCACACTTCTTCAGAGGGCAGTTACCACACCACACCCACTGCCACGCTATCCTCTACTGTAGTCCATTGGGCTTTTAGATCACTACCCCGCCTTCTTAAGAGAAAGTCTATAACATTTGAGATCTAGTATCTGTGGTTTAGTAAATGAAAGTACCAGGTATGGGTGATAAGTTTGTTTTCTGAGCTATTCAGTACTTAATGTTTTGAGGTTAAAAGGGGCTGGAGTGTTTGTGCACTTCAACTTCTAAACTACTTCTGTGGGTAGCAGTAAAATGGTTAGACAATGAAGTCTTAGTTTAGTGTACTTATTTGAAAGATTGTGCCAAGTTATTAACAAATCCAGAATTGTTTTCAAATAATCTTCATATTTTTGAGGACAGTTTGGATTTCTCAGTCATGGCCATGCCACTCACTGCCTTTTCACTTCTGCCTTTTCACTTCTGCCTTTTCACTTTTCATTTCTTGTCAGTCATGTGAGGTGAAAGCTCTTTGTTATCTTCTCAACCAGAGTTGTAATCATTGTAGAAATTCATAGTTATTTTAATTTTTATCTTACATATTTGTGTCATATATGGTTTAAAATAAGTATATTGGTAGATTATCTTGTATTTGTATGAAACTTTTGTATTTTTTCTATTAGACAGTCAAAGGAACAGGTTTTCATCTTCAACCCCTTTGATTTTTATTTGCATATTGTTGATTGGTCAGTTTTACTAATATATGTAAATAGTTTTATAAATTTCTGTTTTTGTTTTCCAAAAAATCTTAGAAGATCCAGGAACCTATAAGAATTGGGGGGAAGGACAGACAGTAGAGGTAATGAAATGTGCACCATGCACCTGGAACATCAGTCCTGTCATTGCGTTTCTTTCAAAATTAGTTCAAAGCCATTAGCAAAAAGAAAAGGGACAATCTTGAGGCTGCGGGCAGTCATAAAAAAAAAAAGAAATGTTGAAGGATCCACTTAAGGTTACAGTTTTGTTTTGTTTTGTTTTACTTTACAGTTTTTAATGTGCTTCCACGCTTCACATACAAACTAACTCACCTGTCCCTGGGCTCTCAGAGTCTGCTGCTACGGCACTCTGTCGTCTTGTCCTAGGGTGCAGGACTTGCCCTCCTACCCCGAATGAGGCCCCAGTCTGACACTGTCACACAGAGGGGTGGATGTAGGCAGCTTGGGAAGAGAGAAGAGGCAGGGACTCAGGATGGGGACTTTATAAAGTCCATATCTGGTACTAGAGAGGTATTTACTACTTTTGTCTTCTGAGGATAACTCTAATTCAAAAAAATTTTGAACATTCACAGAATGTTTAATAACACATGGGAATTAAAGGGACACACTTGCACAGTTGGTGTTGTAATCATTCTAAACATTATTTTGGCCACAGATACATAGATGAAGGACTTGAACGTGATTTTCTGTTTTTCTCAGTTTTGCACTCTTGAATTTCCCATGGTAATTCCTGAGCTTGTAGGCCCTTGATCACATGAACGTTGCAGGGGAGGGGTTGTAAGTCTGCTAGGGCAGACTTGCTCTGCAGCTACTCCCTGTTTTCAGTGACTGAAACCTTGCAGATACGTTATGACTTATCTTTCAGGAACTTAATTCTGACTCTTCTGGGGCCCTTTATAGGCAAGCTTGACTAATTAGAAACAAGATTGAATTTGGGGTGGGGTGGATCTTCAGGTTTTGGTTACCTCTTTAAGAAGTGGATTAAGTGTCTACATTGGTTATTTGTTCAAACAACAACTCAAGGAAAACCTTTGACATTTTTTTCCAGAGAGGTCCATTACTGGTGAAGAACGTTAACATCTGTTAGCACCTAATGCTCACATTAAAATAAATGTAATAATCAAAATGATTCTTTGTAACTCATTCATCTCTAATCTTTCTGAAGTTTTAGGACTTTGATTTAACCTTGTTTGTGTCTTTGTACTTAAGGTTCTATACAAGCTATTTTATGTTAAATGCACTTGGAACTAACCTTGCCTTGAATTTTTGTGAATTTATTGACTTCTTGGTCTCTTATGAAACTAGGATTGCGAGTCACTGTTCTGCATCTTTTTATCACTCTTTTGTCTCCCTTACTCTTTTTCTTTACAAAGTACCTTTTCTTTCTGCCCATTGTTTTATGTTTTACATTCTTTCTTATTCTCTGCCTTTCATTTACTAACATCTATGAAACAGTGGTTCATGCTATTGAGATGCTATAAAACATATTTATTTGGGTATTGATATTTTTCCATGGTTACAAAATAAAGTAAGTATTCCAGACACCTTGTCAGTATAACTCAGTTTATAGTCATCGACTGTTGCATATAAGACTATAAAATTACCAAAATTTGCTTTCTGGTATGAATCAGATTAAAGAACAAAGGACCTTAGGCATAGGCAGGGTGCCTGGGTCCCAAGCCAAGACTGAAAGACTCCTTCTAAACTCTCTGCACTCTTGTTCTGTAGCAGCTGCTGCAGGCCCGTGCCCTACCTCTGACTTCCTGAGTGGTGCTGGGTGTCCCACGTAAATGGCACAAAGCTTATGGAGGGCCAGTGTTCCACAGACTTCAGAGTTGCAGCTGTTAGTTCTGCACCAGCCATTCTCTGGGAACGCTGTGTCCCTGACCCCTGTAATGGTGAAGGCTACCACCTTTTCATGGAGGCTAATAGTCAGTATTCCAAGAGTGAATGTAGGAACTAAAGTATTTTGATTTTCTGATGATGGGTCATTTAACATAGAAGGATACCATTTTGTTCCAGTTACATTTTTCAAAGAACATCATTAAGGAAAAAGAAGGCTGTCTGTTATTTTTTTTTTTATTAAAAAGTTTATTTTTACATCATTTTGCACATTTTTTTTTCATCTCAATTGTAATCCCCACGGGTTTCCCATCACCAAA